TACAAAGTCTTGAACCCTGAATATGTGCATGCATCAAAAAATAAACTTATTGTAATATAAAGATAAATAACAAAACAAATACTCAAGTGATTGCTTTGTTTGATTTAGTTAATGACAAGAACTCAGTATTTAAATTTAAGTAAAGATGCTGCAGAATTTCCAGCCTGTTGCATCAAAATGCTGGAGGCCCTTACAGAATCTAAGTTCAACTTGTGCCCTTGAGTAAATGCATTTATAATCTGTATAATATCCTCTAATAATTTAATAAAATATAGGGATCTGATGTTAAGATAAGGGAAGCCTGGGATAAGCTACTAGCCTGAAGCTCAGGATAAGATTTGTTTTGCCTGAAGGTAGCTGCCTGGAAGTTGGGTATCTTTAGTCTGCTGAACTAGTCATTTGTTCCTCTACATTCACTGGCAGAGAGAATTACCATGAGGAGACATTTCTTAGTAATCATCCTAAGAGAGGTGTCCAGAGTACAACGGATAACCCACATTTTGGAGGTGCCTGTTTCCCTCCACTAACTACTGAGAGAGCGTAGAGAACTAGTTTTATACAGCTGGAGTTAGGTGTGATGAGTGATACCACCTTAGTCCGTGAGTGCAGGGCAGGCCTACAGCACACAGAGATGAGCCAGGACTTGAATTTGGCCAGTCTGCAATAGCATCGTGGACCCCAGAGAGTCTACAACATCGTGGCAATCAGTCCAGGCTATAAAACCGGCTAAGAAGCTGGATGGAGCTGTAAAGCTGAATGCTTGTATACATTGCTTCCACAGTTACACTGCAACAGGGAACTGCGGTAGCTAAACAAAAACTACCCTGGATCAATGACTATTTTGGGTAAGTCTATACTCGCACTGTATTAATATCTGTATAAAACTACATGGTCTGTAGTTTGTGTTTGCTAATGCTTACTTAAGCATTACTGAGATTATAGGGATTAGAGATTGAGAAAACAGGGTTTAAGAGAGGAGATAAAAGAGAAAACTCAGTTACCTGGATATTAGAATAGCATGTAACTGTACATTTACTATATTATAAGCTGTGATGAGTAGCATTACCAGCATTTTCATGTAATGGAAAATCTACTCTCCCTTCACAGATTGTTAAGAAAAGCTGCTCGCAGCATTGCTACCTGAACGATGTCTGAACAGAGGAAGAATGAATCACAGAATCAAAGAATGGTGGCTGTCTTGGCTGCCTGGTCAGGTGTCAAATTCTAATATTTTCAGTAATTGCATTAATTTCATTTTTCACTAACTGTGTTAACTTCTATTGAATTATACTAGAGACTTGGGTGACCTTTTAATTATTTTCTGGAGAAAATATTTTGCTGAAGTGACCTTTTCTTAAAACAAGCAAAAAGTTGAAATAAATGTTGGATTTTGGGAACTTGTCCACCATCAAATCAGAGTAATGATATAAAACAATGCACCTGTATGTGGTTATAGTCAAAGGAAGGTACAGAAATGACACTTGTATGGAATGCCAACAAAAGCAATAAAAAAGGACTAATTTCTAGGATCCTTGTTCTGTAGTGAGCCTGCTAAAAGGCAAGGAGAAACCTATCTGTTTTGCTAAATCAGATGAACTTACCCACGGGAATTTCCTCTTGAGTTACTGCATCAGGCTGAATCTTTCGTTTGGCACGTTCTTCTTGAAAAGGTGTTGTTATGAACTACCCAAACTCCTTCCATTTATCTTTCTGATAAAAGTCTTCAGAAGTCAGGTAGTAAGTTGTTCGGTACTTACAGCCAGGTCCCTCTTTCTTATTTCAGTGCATAAATACCTATGACAAAAAGAACCGCATGCAGACAGAATACTATAATATTCCCTGAAGAAAGTTTTTAATCAGCAGCTTCAAGAGTGCTCTGTTAATGAGAAATGGAAATGTTATAAATTCAGCCAACAGCCTTTATGCTTAATTTAGACAGTTTTCCTTGCAGCTCGAGAGTACAAAAGACCAGTGTCAGTGGCCTGTAGGCTCTTGCAGTTGCTGCTCAGTGATTAACCACGGAAAAGAAATGCTATTTGCAATTTAATTAGCTGGAGGATAACCTATAGGTAATACTGATAAAAATAATCAGCTAGATGCCACTGAGCAGCTGGCATGAAAATCGGACAACACAGTGTCCGTAAAGTTTGATTTGTATTCTCAAAACAGCTTTATTCACAAAAAACCACTCCTCTGCAAAAAAGTATAGTTTCTTGAGCCCATGTTTTTAGGCTTGTTTGAATTCTTGCTTGGCTGAGCTAAAGCCAATTCTTGGCAGCAGGATTTCGGCATATTCATTAAGTGCAATACCATATCATTGCTTTAAAAACATAGTGGATTGTAAATAAACAGTGAACACAATGACTCTACAAAAAGCCAACACAGCACTAAACAGTAGTTCAGCTGAAGGCAATTTCAATTGTTAATGCTTTTACTGTGTGCTGGTTTCAGCAGTTTTGAAGGTCTGTTTTCCTGAGTAGTGCTGTTCTGATGCTCAGTTGCTGTGGCCTCTTGGCTGGGGTTGAATCGACCTGCAATTCAGGATAGCTCTTCCAGACTACTTCTATAGTGACCTGATCATGACAGTGTGTCTTGCTGATAAGAACTTTTTCTTTATTTCAGAAGAAATATTTTATCTATACAACTGAAAGAAAAACCTTTCAATGTGATAATGCTTTCTTTGCTCATGTCAAGACTGTCATTCTAGCTCAGAGCTACAGCAGTGCTGATTTCAAAGTATTGTGTTCAACCCGTATGTTGATACATGGTTATATATGCATCAGGAATGTATATGCAGATTTCTGATTTATATCACTTTCACTGCTACTACATGGAATTGTTTTATAAAGTATAAGTATTTCTCTAGAAGCAACCAGCTAGATCTGTTGAGTGCTGGAACCAGCTGAATCTTTTATCATATTGGGTATTTGTAGATGTGTGTGAGCTGATACTGCAGCCTTCTCCGCAGCTGGCAGTTCCTGGCTGCTCATTTTCATGAGACATAGGAGTGGCCTTATCTTTGAGATCTCTGTGTCAAGTTTGGTTGATATTGTACAGTAATGAGCATGGAAACCTCATGTCCTCAGAAAACCAGCTGGAATTGTATGATTCAGACTGTATATTACTACTGGTTTTGGTGGAGTTCCTGATGAGTTTGAAGGGTAAAGCCTGCTTAAAAACCGAAAGTGCCATTTGGTCCTTTTCCAGAAACCTATTTACGAGGGATGCTAATCTAAAATAGCTACTTAGTGTAAAATACAAAGCTATTCATACTTATGGTGAAATCCGGAGTCTGGATTTGAAGGAACTAGATTGTCATCCTGAGAATCTCACCTATATCATCTACCCGTTTCACAAGGCTCCGTGGCATCCTGAACTTGGCAGGCAACTATTTATGTATCATGCTGATGACTGCAGGATAAATGACAAGGACATTGTTTATATAGAGCTCCCCTCTGCTAATCCTGGCCCTTCTGCTTCATTGTTGCTTGAGACTGGACGCATAAGAGCTATAAAGAAAGGTCTCATTTTCTCCATCTGGAAGCTGCAGATAATACTGTTTGTTCACAATATCCCTCTGGTTTAGGCATTTATTGTTACAATAGTCCATTTCTAAACAATCTCATTGTAAAAACAGACTGTTAAAACCATTTTTAAAGTAGTGTTTTGTAAGAGTTTAGTGGTGAATGTTTATATATTCAGCTCGTACTGTTAGAACACCAGTATTTGTTCTATTTTATTGCATTTTTAGCTGAATAATAACATTTCTTGATTTAAAGTTGCATCTCTCTAATGACCTTTGCTGGATGCTAAATTTTAGATTGCATTTACATACGAGACTGCTATTTTGTTAAGTAGGAGACATTATGAGGATAATCAGTTTATCGTAAGCTGTAATTCTATGTCTAGCAAGGATTCAAATTTCTAGGATGGAGGATGGCTAATGGCTTAGTGAAGTCTGGTAAAACATCTTTAAGATAAATCCCAGCATAATGAGATCAGCTAGATCTAACTGTAAAATGGAAGAGAAGCTTAATTTTAATTTTCAAATGCACAGTTTGGTGCTTCGCTTTTTTATTTTACAACTTGACAGAGATATGTCTGCAATTAAAAAAATGCTGGAACTGGATGGATCTTTTGAACATGCATAAACTAAAAGGGAGAAACTAAACTAAAAAAAAAAAAAAAGTAGCTAGCTTCATATAAGGTTAGATTTTTCTATTCCACGGAATCTAATTTGCCTCCAATGTAAATTCTCTGGTGAAAGGATGTGCCTACTTTGCAGCTACAAGATGCTTCTTACATAGGTACTAAATGTGTGTGGATATGGGTATGTAGTATGAGGGTACTAAAATAGTACAGGCAGCAAAATAACAGTAACAATAATTTCAGTCACAGAGATCTACAGTCACGTACGTGATCAAGGGGTCCTTGTCAAATTAGGTAGCATCTGGTTTCTTGGCATTTAGGTTTGTATTTTAACTAATGTGTTAACAACAGTTTCCACTTTTATTTTTAAATGTATGCAGTATATAATGCTTTTGTGTTTTACTGTTTTCATGCAATTACAGTGCTTGTGACAGAAACTGGACAGGCCCTGCTTCAGGATTAAAGCTGCTGTTTAAGCACGCAGCATATGAAGTGGCAGTGCAAACTTTTTAGGGGAGTCAGTACATTTTCATCCTGAACTCCAAAGGGAATAGTAACTTGCTTACATACACAAAGTATTCCAGAAAAGCTGTGTATTTAAAATACGATGGCTTTTTCTGAAATTGCTTCATGTTTTGGAGTCTGAGGAGGTAAATCACGGTGAATAGCCTTCTCAAGCTTTAGCCTCTGAGGCAGCTCAGGAGCTACTAACACCACTGTCATTTGTGAGTCACAGTAGTTTTGTCACCTAAAATCTGCGTGTGACTGGCAACATTTCAGGGGTAAGGGAGCACCACTTCTGACAGCTCGTGAATCAACTCTGAGTAACAGGACGTTGGCAAGTGTAGGAGATGGCTCACACTGAGCAGAAGGATCCTCCGTTCCCACTATTTTCGAGACCCAGCATGGAAGTAGAGCCCAGAGCAAGAGACGGAGCCACTGAGGGCACTCACCAGCTTAGCACTGAGCTCCTTCAGAAACTGGCTGTATCTATTAAAAAGGAGAGCACAGGGGGCACAGAAGGCAGGTGCTGCAGGACCTGGGGAAAAGCCAATACTACATCTGGGGCCCAAGATCCTCTTCCTTCTGATCATCTGCTGAGAGCCCAGCTTTCTCTCTCTTTTTGGAGCAGAGCAGGACAGCAGTAGGGAAGGTTTGTAGTATCTGTACTGAGGCAGAGGATGTCAGAAGTACTGTGCTACAGTCTGAGGCAGAGGAGGTTTGCTGGGTTAGGAAAGTAGTACCAAAACCCAGTGCCTTCCCTCCAGCATATGTAGTACAGATTTTTTTAAAAATAGTATTTTGTTTCTTCGTATAATGTCACACAACACACTGTGGGACTCAGACAGATAATAGAATTTCACCTCTGATTTTCCCCTCATTTTTGAGATAATACTTGATTAGCCAAGTGAAAAGCTCCTAACTCCAGGAAGAAAGTAAAAATTTTAAACAGGAAGTAAAAACTGACAGCACTGCTTTCTGCATGTCTATACGTATTTATCTACAGCATACACTCCAAGCATGCTCAGGAACAATCTTTGGCACTGAAATGAAGTTGTTTCTACTGGGACATTGCCAGAACTTTTCCCAGCCCAGATTTGGCTCTCATCAAGTACCATTCCCATTCCCGCAAGCCTTTCCCAGCCCCTGGCAGTGGGGAGGGACTGTTCCCAGCAGACAGTTTGCACAGGGCCATCCCATGTTGGGAGCTGAGTGAGTTCACCAGCGTTGGCACGGCAGTTCCCTGCCAGCTGGCCTTGGCGGAGCATTGAATTTACTGGTGTTGATGAAGCCTTCCTACCCTGAACAGTCCAGTCTCTTAGATACATTGCATATATTCAGAATGCTTCTTAAAACAAGACTTTAGATTATTATCTTGTTTCAGTCTCGGGACTTCCCCCGTTGTCTGGAAAAACAACTTCTAGGTCCGTCCTGGATCTGTCTTGCAGGAAATGCAGTGCCCTCAATTAGCAGTGCCGAAACAGCCTATTTCAACGCTGTGTGGAAACACATGGCCAAAGGAACCTCAGCGGGCAACAAGCTCTGCCCACAGCAGTTCAACCTGACGAAATGCAGGACTTTGTGGTTACAGAAACTGGCAGTAATGGTTTACTGACAGGAAAACTGGCTTTCTTGAATTGTACTGTTCTGTGGTGCAGAGTTAGGAAAGCAGGGCGATCAAAACCTAGGCCTGTTTTGCAGAGTTTATCATTAGCCAGCTCTGGAATAGTTCGGTTTGACTGTGGTTTGTTGGAGTATCCCACTGAAAATACTAATTAGAGGGGAAGCAGTGGTTTTGTGAAGAATATAAACTTTCCATAGCTTCGATCAGGTACTAGGCCTCACTCCCATTGCTGGGCCCACACCGCTGAGGCTTGGTCGAGGGCCCGGCGTCGGCGTTTCCTCACGAAGGGGTCAACCCCCTCCCGGGGCCTCGGGCAGCGGCAGCGCCGTAAGAGGCTCTGAAGAGGGGGGAGATTACCGCACTGCCATGGAGGCTGGTTACGAAAAGGGCAGGTAAAGGCGAGGAGGCAGTTTTAACCGGGAGCTGGGTGGTAACGCCAGGGCCGGGACGCCGAGGCGACCGCGGCGCCTGAGGGGAGCGCCCTCAGGTGGGGGGGGAGCTGCGCCTGCGCACCGCCCGCCGGAAGTCCGCCACTGCCCAGCCTACCCGCTCGCCCA